GTGTGTGTGTGTGTGTGTGTGTGTGTGTGTGTGTGTGTGTGTCTGTTGTAAGAAGCTTCCTACCATTTCAGTGAATGTGACTGAAGGCACAAACTTATAACACTTCTGGTACACCACAACAGGAGATGGCCATACCTCCTAAAGTGTGTCTACAATTTGTAGAAGATGGAAGAATTTGTGTTTTAAAACTGTTATAGCTACTGAATTGGGTTTTAATTAATTAATTTAATTAAAGTTGTTGAAAATATAATAGTAGTCATATTTTATCAAACTGACACAACCAAATCTACTTTTTTACTTGCAGAGAAAATTCACACAGAATAGCAAGTGGCTTGAACTGTTCTTTTTTTTTTTTTTTGTTAAATAAACCAAACGACTTTAACTGATCTTATCTCTTGCCTCTGCACTGATGCATGCTGCAGTCTTGTTTTTTTGTAAAGCACCATGAAGACCTGTGCTGTGGGAAAGTTTTCGTTTGTGAGGAATAGCTTTTASAATAGCTTTCATCATAGCTAATAGTTGTATAGAAAGTATTTCTTCAATTTAGTTTGCATTTCAGGCTGTGAATGTTTATTATCTCTGCCACATCAGATGTAGATGCTGTTTGATTTCTTGTAGATGAAAAGGAGGCAGTTCAGAAACTAGCTGTTTTTTTTCACAGGTGGTAAAATGGCACTTCCTGTTCGTCTATGATGTGGCAGGAAATTAGGTCACATGGTGGAACACTGACAGGGCTGGCTCACCTAACCCAGATCTCTTTCCTGGAAGAAGTGTTTTTTTTCCTCTTCTTTTGCTTTTTTTTTTTTTTTTTTTGTAGCCGTGTTTTCTTGCAAGTGCATCAGTTAGAAACTAGTCGCCACACTTTGCATACCCCCAAACACCAGCAGCTGTTTTAAGAGTACATTTATGTGAAAAAGTAAATGTTTTTGCCTGCAGTGGGTGGCCTAATTGAAAGTGCTGCTGTGTGTGTGTGTGTGTGTGTGTGTGCGCGCGTGCGTGCGCGCGCAGGGCATGCTCCCTGACCTCCATTAATTTCTCAGCAGTGGCTGAGACTGTGAGCGGTTTACCAGAACATTGTCAGCTAGCAGGTGCAACACACTCAGAGATACTAGCTTGTGGTTTGTGTCTGACAGCGTGCTCCGTGTGTTTTTAGCAGCAGCTRTAGTACGATCCAGTTTAACAGATCAAAACATACAAGCTCTTTTTTWAAGGGTTGTTTTCAGTTTTAATTATTTTCACATAGGTTGTGAAATAGGCCTTATTTGAACTAAAACACAGCTTGATTCTTGTACGTTTTTGTTATGCACAGGCCTCATAGAGGACATTTCCATGAATTCAGAAGGCCAAATTAAAGTGAAGTTGCTTTTTATTATAACTTCCACAAGACCCCTTTTCCTCTTACGAGAAGGYAGAAGTGAAAGAAGAATACAAGGGATGGGGGGGAGGACATGAAAGCAAGAAATAAAACACGGTTATTTAGAAAAGAACAACACAGAAACAGAACCTTGCTGTTGTTTTCAGTTGATGTGGGGAGGGGTTGCTGAGAAAACCGTCACTGAGGTTGTTCTGGACACAGACCTGARGCTGGTTGGTGCAGCTTCAGTTTCAGAATCGGTGCAGGAGTTTTGTTGTGTGTTCGTAGTGTGTCCCCAWCTGGTCACGTGTGATTTTTGTTTCATAGTTTGCGTTAGCGCCAGAAGGTGAATGAAATCGGGCCACCTAGTTTCAGTGTTCATCTCAGTCTTTTGAAAGAAAGTCGAACCTTTTCAAGAAACTCAACCACCCAAATGAAAAGGATGCAGGACTTTTCTGGCTTYTGGATTTGAAAGTAAAACCAGAGTTTAGTCTTTAATAATCTATGAACTTGTTATTCTTATAAGTCACTATTTCTTGATAAAGATGTCCATTTGAATTAATTTTCAATATATGTATTTTTCCACCGTTTAATATGTGATTTAAAAAAAATAGCAAAACCTTTTGATATTTTGTAGTCGTCAAACAAAGCAGTTTTATTAATAATAATGCAACCAATTTTTTGACACTTTTTTTAAACAAATACTCAAAACCTGATTTCTCACTCTTTCATGTGTTTTTTAATTCTAATTTGACTAAGTAAAAAAATAGGTTTCCAATAACATACGACATCTGCTTCTGAAATTAGCTTGTATCGTAAAATGCTACTCGCTTTATCTCAGCTGTTTGTGGTTCACACTCGGTTCGTTACAGCTGAATGTTTAATCAACCTCAGTTAAAGGAGACATATCATGCTAAATGCACTTTTTTTGCATTTATAAACTATTTTTTGTGCAATTATATTGTCTATGAGTGTAGAAAACTTTAATTTATTCTGTCCGGTTACTGCAAAGATATTTTAAAACCCTTTTATGGGTCAAAATTTTCAGTTTGTTCAAAATCTGCTG